ATTACATATTTTGGACACAAGTAAAACCATGATAATAACAATTACATATTTTGAACATGAGTAAAGCATGATAATAACAATTACATATTTTGGACACAAGTTAAACCATGATAATAACAATTACATATTTTGGACACAAGTAAAACCATGATAATAACAATTACATATTTTGGACACAAGTAAAACCATAATAATAACAATTATGGTTACAGTTACTGTCTGTGGTGTACATATGGGAAGGCTGTTTAAAAATGATATTTTACCGAGACAAAATTTTAATAAGTGTAACAAACAGATAAATGTTTTTACTGGAATGTAGTTTTTTAGACAAATGTTTTAGCTACACTAAGACCATGGTCTCTTACAAATATCAAACATTTTTACATACTATTTCAAATGGTAAATAATATTTTATAGTTTAAACAGTCTTAGAATGATTTAATTAGACAGTGTAAAGTTTCATAGTGAAAACAGACCTAGGAATTATTTGACAGGATATGGTTTTATAAATGTCATTAAATGACTTACCGTAAAATTCCTAATAAACGATCCTCCCCTAATAAAAGCCCCCAGGCTTTTTGATATGGAAAAAAATCTGCTCATGAGTGGTGAACTCTTTAATAAATCCGTAATTTTATTCAAATCCTTCAGAATCCATTTTATTTCATAGTAAACACAAAAATGTATCACATTAACTTTAAAATCTTAACACATTTTAATGTTATTACCAACCCATGTTACTGTACACTAAATGTTTTTTCAATGATTTTTGGATTTAGGAAAAACGTGTTGTAATAATAGCCCCCCCTTTTGGAAAATGTTAAGCCCCCGGGGGCATTTAATAGGGATATTACGGTAAGTAGTATGAACTACCATATATACATTATATATTGGACCACTATCTGTTGGGTCTGTATAAGACATCCATTGACTAAACCAATGTATTGAATGGATAAAACAGAACTTCATGTAAATTTTGTTTAAGAATACAAATTTTTTTAAGTCGTTGGTAACATTTTGAGAATGTGAAGTTTAAAGTATATATATATAACTCCAATGTTAAAGTGTCAATAGATTGACGTTATTTCTGTAAAATTATAACATAACCTTTTAATGAATGTTAATGATCATATGAAATTTGTGTAACTAGGTAAGTGCATAAAACAGTAAACTGCTGAGATACTAATAATAATGAACTACCATATATACATTATATATTGGGCCACTATCTGTTGGGTCTGTATAAGACATCCATTGACTAAACCAGTGTATTGAATGGATAAAACAGATCTTCATGTAAATTTTGTTTAAGAATACAATTTTTTTTTAAGTTGTTGGTAACATTTTGAGAATGTGAAGTTTAAAGAATAACAAATGACATACTTTCCAATGTTAAATGATATAATTTACACATTTAAACATTTTAGTATTGTTTTTATTCATTGTGTCCCATTTAATACCACAATGTAAACTTCTATAAGAAAAAAAAATGTAGTAGTGTCAATAGATTGACGTTATTTCTGCAAAATTATAACATAACCTTTTAATGAATGTTAATGATCATATGAAATTTGTGTAACTAGGTAAGTGCATAAAACAGTAAACTGCTGAGATACTAATAATAATGAACTACCATATATACATTATATATTGGACCGCTATCTAAGACATCCATTGACTAAACCAATGTATTGAATGGATAAAACAGATCTTCATGTAAATTTTGTTTAAGAATACAAATTTTTTTTAAGTTGTTGGTAACATTTTGAGAATGTGAAGTTTAAAGAATAACAAATGACATACTTTCCAATGTTAAATGATATAATTTACACATTTAAACATTTTAGTATTGTTTTTATTCATTGTGTCCCATTTAATACCACAATGTAAACTTCTATAAGAAAAAAAATGTAGTAGTGTCAATAGATTGACGTTATTTCTGCAAAATTATAACATAACCTTTTAATGAATGTTAATGATCATATGAAATTTGTGTAGCTAGGAGATACAATTCCTAAGTGCATAAAACAGTAAACTGCTGAGATACATGTATGGTCTGTGGAGTTGTCTCCCTTGGAAGCAAAAAGTAAATAGTATCTTGTAATTCTGTTTAGAACTTGGCTTTTCATGGATTTTATGTTTGTGTTCTACTGACACATTTTTTCACAGTCTGTAGTAACATACGTATATAGACATAATTTGTGAAGAAATAACGTTTATTCACAACAAGTTCCGGAAGTTTAGCTACATCATATGAGAAAATGGCAATTATGATATCATACAAAATATTAATGATAAATACATGATTTACATGAACATATTAACTCCCATGTGTTTATCTGTTTACTGGACAGCAGATTTGTCCAAATATTTTCAAAGTATGTTGCAAAACATTGGGAAAAACAAGATTGCATTTGTGAAAAATGCCATGCCACCGCATAAATACAACACTAAATAGTAATGTAGGAACACATTTTTTTTGTTTCTATACAGATTGCCATAATGCATAGATCACTTACCTATCTGTTAATATCAGATAAGTACCTTCAGAAATAAGATTTTTAATTTTTACTTTAAGACATAGTGACTGAAAATCAATGATCCCAAGGGGCCAATTTTGACCCCAGGCCCCGTGTTAACAAAGATTTAAGGATCAGGATCAAGATCAGGATCAAGTTTAAAAACTCCAATATTCTTCATTGTTTATGCTTATATATTAAATGTCTTATATTAATTTGATAAAAATTGACTTGCAATAGCAAGTTTATGAACTTTAAGAATAAATTTATTGCTATTTTTGCAAGATATGGGCTTTTTATAGTTGATCAAAATATTGATCCTGATCCTAAAATTGATCCTTATTTTGATCCAAATATTTTTGCATTTGTTTTGTTATTTGTTGATTTTATCTCAAATAGTTTGGTTACTTTGCAAATCTGCATTTTTTTACATCAGAAAATTTACCATTTAATTAAAGCAAAACACGATTAATTTAAGTAGCATAAAACAATGATAATATTATCAAGATCACTTGATCCTGATCCTGATATTTTCTTAGTGAACACGGGGCCAGGGCTTTAATTTGAATAATCTTGCTAGAGGTTCAATACACAATGTTTAATGCAAAATGTCTAACCTCTAGCCTTTGTTAATTAGAGAAGATTTTTTAAAGTTTTTACTATATACATGTAAGGAAAACCTATGACCCCCGGAGCGGGGCTAGTTTTGACACTAGAGGCAAAATTTGAACAACTTTGGTAGAGTACCTATAGATGATATCATATACCAAATATCAAAGCTCTAGGCCTTGTACCTTCAGACAAGAAGCTTTTTTAATTTTTTATTATATGTACATAGTGAAAACCAATGACCCCCGGGGCGGGGCCAATTTTGACCCCAGGGCTATAATTTGTACAATCTTGCTAAAGGTTCACTTCACAATGTTTCATGCAAAATATCTAACCTCTAGCCTTTGTGAATTTAGAGAAGATGACTTTTTAAGTTTTTACTATATACATATAAGGAAAACCTATGACCCCCGGGGTGGGGCTGATTTTGACACTAGAGGCAAAATTTGAACAACTTTGGTAGAGAACCTATAGATAATAACACATAACAAATATCAAACCTCTAAGCCTAGTACCTTCAGACAAGAAGGTATTTTAAGTTTTTACTATATGTACATATAGTGAAAATCAATGACCCCTGGGGCGGGGCCGATTTTGACCCCAGGGTTATAATTTGAACAATCTTGGTAGAGGTCTACCAGACAATGCCTTATGCAAAATATCTAAGCTCTAGGCCTTTTGGGTCTTTACAAGAAGATTTTTTAAATTTATTCTTATTATTCCTTTTGGTTGCCATGGCAACCAGATTTCTGCATGGAATGAAATTCTTTGAACAACTTTAGAAGCCCTTCAACCAAGGATCAATCCTGCCAAGTTTGGTTGAAATTGAACCAGTGGTTTTTCACAAGAAGATTTTTTAAGTTCACTATATAATCTATATAACACACACACACACACACACAAACAAACAAACAAACAAACAAACAAACAAACAAACAAACAAACAAACAAACAAACAAACAAACAAACAAACAAACAAACAAACACACAGGTGAATCGCTATATGCCACCGCATCGCAGATGCTGCGGTGGCATAATAACAAAATAGAGTGTATATCAAAATCCCCTTGATCATAATCCCCTTGGTTGAAAAATGACATAGTGATCGAAATCCCCTCAACAGAAATGACCGGGTGTTCATAATCCCCTTGATGGATAGTCAAAATCCCCTTGGCAAAAATGATGGGGTGGTCAAAATCCCCTCAACTTGTGAAAAACAACCCCCTTTACTCAATATTCTTTTTCCTTTGATCTTTTGAATTCCATTTTGGGTATTCATGTCTATTGCAGAGAGCCATCATATTATATACCCAACAAAATAACAGTTTGCAGTTAAGTAAAACAAAGATGAAGTAATTTTAGATAGCAAACTGCAATTAATAGCCTCATTTTAAGTTATTATCTGGAAAGATCTAAAGCTAGTGTGCAACAAATTTGCCTTTAAAGGTGTTTATCATTGCAAAGATTAATTGATTGTTTGTTACATATAACTATAATTGCAATGATTAATTATAATCAACTATCATTTATTTGTTTGTATTTTACAATTTTCTCAGCAATAATAACATCAATAAAGGGTGTCATTATTAACTGGCTGTGACAAACATACACCTTTTAATTGTTTGTATGCTTTTCTCTTTTTTTTCAGCAATTCTTGAAGCAGTTGGTTCTTAAATTCATTGAACTAAAAAGAAAAATAAGAAAAGAAATTATTTGAGGGGATTTTGACTACCCACTGAGGGGATTATGACCACCCCTTTATTTTTGCCAAGGGGATTATGATAACCCTGTCATTTCTGTTGAGGGGATTTCGATCACTATGTCGTTTATCAACCAAGGGGATTATGATCAAGGGGATTTTGAGCGTCTCCCGTTTCAGAAAGGTATATTCTGAAAAGAAGGTGGTTCTAGCTGAGCTGATACATATATAAAGGTCAACTGAAAACAACAACTACAAATATATATTAAAATTTTAATATGTTGAGTGTATTAAAAAAAACACACAGTAACATACATATATATTTTGGTTACGGGAGGGCTTTTGTCTCCCTTGTTTATTTCACAGAAGGGCTTTTGTCCGTTTCACATTTATGATTCTTCTCGCTAGTGTGTATTGTCATATGATTTTTAAGACTACTGCTCTGAGAAAATGAATGGTGACATATTTCACATTTATGATCCTTCTCGCTAGTGTGTATTGTCATATGTTTTTTAAGACTACTGCTCTGAGAAAATGAATGATGACATATTTCACATTCATGATTCTTCTCGCCTGTGTGTATTGTCATATGCCTTTTAAGATTACCACTTTGAGAAAATGAACAATGACATATTTCACATTGATGATTCTTCTCGCCTCAGTGTATTGTCATATGCCTTTTAAGACTACCACTTTGAGAAAATGAACCATGACATATTTCACATTGATGATTCTTCTCACCAGTGTGTATTGTCATATGCCTTTTAAGACTACTGCTCTGAGAAAATGAACCATGACATATTTCACATTTATGATTCTTCTCGCCTGTGTGTATTGTCATATGCCTTTTAAGACTACTGCTCTGAGAAAATGAATGATGACATATTTCACATTCATGATTCTTCTCGCCTGTGTGTATTGTCATATGCCTTTTAAGATTACCACTTTGAGAAAATGAACAATGACATATTTCACATTGATGATTCTTCTCGCCTCAGTGTATTGTCATATGCCTTTTAAGACTACTGCTCTGAGAAAATGAACCATGACATATTTCACATTTATGATTCTTCTCGCCTGTGTGTATTGTCATATGCCTTTTAAGACTACTGCTCTGAGAAAATGAATGATGACATATTTCACATTCATGATTCTTCTCGCCTGTGTGTATTTTCATATGCCTTTTAAGATTACCACTTTGAGAAAATGAACAATGACATATTTCACATTGATGATTCTTCTCGCCTCAGTGTATTGTCATATGCCTTTTAAGACTACTGCTCTGAGAAAATGAACCATGACATATTTCACATTTATGATTCTTCTCGCCTGTGTGTATTGTCATATGTTGTTTAAGACTACCACTTTGAGAAAATGAACGATGACATATTTCACATTGATGATTTTTCTCACCAGTGTGTATTGTCATATGTTGATTAAGATGACCACTATGAGAAAATGAATGACGACAAATTTCACATATATGATTCTTCTCACCAGTGTGTATTTTCATATGTTGTTTAAGACTACTGCTCTGAGAAAATGAACGATGACATATTTCACATTTATGATTCTTCTCGCCTGTGTGTATTTTCATATGTTGTTTAAGATTACCACTTTGAGAAAATGAATGATGACATATTTCACATATATGATTCTTCTCACCAGTGTGTATTGTCATATGTTTTTTAAGATAATCACTTGCAATAAATGAACGATGACATATTTCACATTTATGATTCTTCTCGCTAGTGTGTATTGTCATATGTTTTTTAAGACTACTGCTCTGAGAAAATGAACCATGACATATTTCACATTTATGATTCTTCTTGCCTGTGTGTATTGTCATATGTTTTTTAAGACTACTTCTCTGAGCAAATGAACAATGACATATTTCACATTTATGATTCTTCTCACCAGTGTGTATTTTCATATGTGTTTTAAGATTACTTCTTTGAGAAAATGAACGATGACATATTTCACATTTATGATTCTTCTCACCAGTGTGTATTGTCATATGTTGTTTAAGAATACTGGTTCTAGAAAATGAACGATGACATATTTCACATTTATGATTCTTCTCGCCTGTGTGTATTTTCATATGTTGTTTAAGATGACCACTTTGAGAAAATGAATGATGACATATTTCACATTGATGATTCTTCTCACCAGTGTGTATTGTCATATGTTGTTTAAGAATACTGGTTCCAGAAAATGAACAATGACATATTTCACATTTATGATCCTTCTCGCCTGTGTGTATTTTCATATGTTGTTTAAGATGACCACTTTGAGAAAATGAATGATGACATATTTCACATTGATGATTCTTCTCACCAGTGTGTATTGTCATATGTTGTTTAAGAATACTGGTTCGAGAAAATGAACGATGACATATTTCACATTCATGATTCTTCTCACCAGTGTGTATTGTCATATGATTTTTAAGATCCCCACTTTGAAAAAATGAACGATGACATATTTCACATTCATGATTCCGATTCTTCTCACCAGTGTGTATTGACATATGATTCTTCTCACCAGTGTGTATTGTCATATGTCTTTTAAGATGACACTTTGAGTGAATGAACGATGACATATTGCACATTCATGATTCTTCTCACCAGTGTGTATTTTCCTGTGTCTTTTAAGATGACCACTTTGAGTGAATGAACGATGACATATTGCACATTCATAATTTCTCTCACCAGTGTGTATTGTCATATGTTTTTTAAGATCCCCACTAGATGAAAGAAACCGATCACATATTTTACATCTGAAACTTTCCTCACTAGTAGACATTGTTAAATATACTTGAAGATTGAATCTACAAGTAAAAGATTTAAAACACACTGTATTGACAGGTGTATTTTGAGGTTACCAATTTTCTACAATGATTAATAAAATAATTCTTTTTAACTGGATATTCAGCCACATGTTTCTTCATGTAACATTTTCGAATACTGGAATATTTACTGCTCAACAGTGTTTTTGTTGTTGTTGTTGCTTTCTGCCAGTACCACGTGGTTGTCACTGTTTAAAAAGAAAGAAAGGAACAAGCAACTGTTAGTAAACATTTGTAAAAATATATTTACTTAGTGGAAATTCTGTTAATCCTTTCAAGACCTTATAAAACTGCATTTAATAAATTTCATAAAAACAGAAATAGCGACATTTTCTTAATAAATTGGTTTTCATATCGACTCTAGATCTTATTTTGGTGTCAAGACAACCAAAGCATAACAAGAGCGATCAGTAATCACATGTGTCGCCTCATGATGGCCAATTTCATGTTGGGACAAATTTTGTGAGAGACAGACAGACAGACGGACAGTGCACAACTAGACTTGGTACTGATCATTCCTGTAAAGTTTGGATAAAATTGCACCAGTAGTTTATGAGGAGTAGTCTGGACAAGCTTTTGCGTATCTGGCAACACACAGAAAAAAAGACCTTTTTATCAAAGGGCCATAACTCGGCCAAAAATCATTCAACCGGAAAACCCGTGCAATATGCGCAAGGACTTGAGCTACAGATCAATCCTGTAAAGTTTCATTGAAATTGCATTAGTGGTATAAGAGAAGTGTGTGTGTGTGTTGAGTTTATTTACCCTCGCCACCGGTTAAAAACCATATGGGCGAGCAAATAAGAAGTAGTCCGGACAAACTTTAAAAATAAAAATTATTAAAGGGCCATAACTCTGACAAAAATCATTGAACCGGAAAATGCTGACAATATGCACAACTAGACTTGGTACTGATCATTCCTGTAAAGTTTGGATGAAATTGCACCAGTAGTTTATGAGGAGTAGTCCGGACAAGCTTTTGTGTATCTGGCAACACACAGAAAAAAACACCTTTTTGTCAAAGGGCCATAACTCCGCCAAAAATCATTCAACCGGAAAACCCATGCAATATGCGCAAGGACTTGAGCTATAGATCAATCCTGTAAAGTTTCATTGAAATTGCATTAGTGGTATAAGAGAAGTAGTCCGGACAAACTTTAAAATTAAAAATTATTAAAGGGCCATAACTCTGACAAAAATCACTGAACCGGAAAATGCTGAAAATATGCACAACTAGACTTGGTACTGATCATTCCTGTAAAGTTTGGATGAAATTGCACCAGTAGTTTATGAGCAGTAGTCCGGACAAGTTTTGTGACGGACGGACGGACAGACAGACAGACGGACAGACAGACGACGGAGAAGTGATCCCTATATGTCGCCACTACTCCGTAGAGGCGACACAAAAACCTGAAACATTTTTGTGGCTAAATCGGAAGTACAATTTCTGTTTGCAGGAGAAACTCTGCCTTCTGATCATCCATACAATGTACATTAATGTAAAAACAACAAACATGGCTATAAATAGGTTTGGGTCATGATGGTGAACAAGTGTGCAAAGTTTCAAAGCCAATATTATGTCAATGGACTGTGAAAATATTTGAGGTATTACAAAAACTTTAACGTCAATTCTAAGTGGAAAAAGGGGCATAATTCTGTCAAAATGCTTGATAGAGTTACCTCCTCCTGTCTACAGGTTGGGATCATGATGGTGAACAAGTGTGCAAAGTTTCAAAGCCATATGTGAATGGACTTTGAAAATAGTTGAGATATTACAAAAGCTTTAACATAAGTGGTTACGCCGACGCCGACGCTCGGGTGACTACAATAGCTCTACTTATTCTTATCAAATAGTCGAGCTAAAAATGACACGTTTGTTAGTGCCATTAAAACCTGCAATAAACATACTATTTTGTACTTGTACAAATCCTTGTGTCTATGTGCGATTTTGTCATTGTTTATTTTTCACACTTACCTGCACTTGTCGACTTAAAAAAATGTGAGATATTCTTTTATTCAAATTGTGTTTGAATGTAACTGTTATTGTCTTTTGTTTATTAACGTGTACATATATCTACTGATACATGAAGATTATGACGAGACACATTATAAGTCGTCAGAAGTAATGAAACACAACGAATCTTGAAATGTTGTCTGTTTTATTGGTTGATTTTGAATAAATATCTTAATTAAAATGCAGAAATAAATCGCACCAATGCGAGAGGCATAAAATACGCAGAAATTTGAAACCCATTATTTTAACAAAAATCACAGAATATTAAGTCCGCAGAAATTAGTACTTATATGGTACATCTATAGCTCTTTATACATCTCTCATCATAAAAATCACACATTTTAACAAACTGTTTCTTTTTAATACACCACGCCAAAATATATCATGAATACTGTATCGTTACGAGCTTTTGACAAATATAATGCCTGGTCTGAAAATGGCCACCATCAATCGTCAAAATGTCAACAACAAGACTAAGTGCAAACTTTTAGTTTATCATTTTTCTTTCTGTTTATATCATATAGTATGCCCAATAAACAAATTAACTTTAAAAGAAATAGCTTTATTATTTTTCTAGAAATATGATTTTTATGTCATAAGCCTGATCGGGCTTTTTCACCAGCCTGTTTAAAGAACGGGAAAGATCATATCATGACTCACTGTAGTGATTCAGATTGGATCTTTAGATCATTTCTTTTATCTCTAGATAAGAAATGTAAACGGTGGACTGGTATTCTGATACCCTATCACGGTATCAAGCTTATTGCTGAATGACAAAAACAATACACTGAGAGTTCAATACAGTTCATTTATGTAATTCGATAGTATTGTTTCCATTGCTCACGTGAAAACTGAAAGATAAAAATTCAGGAATTCAAAAATCTAGCTAAACGCCATTTTCCGGTACTTTCTGTATATGTACAACTCTGGGGAATTCACCTTAAAGGCATGTAGTCACAATCTGTTTGTTTTGGGTATTTTTTTGGATTAAACTAAAGTGTAATAAAACAATTATTTCTTTGTACGAAAATAATTAACAAGAAGCGCCGCAATGCGACGAAAACCAGGTTTTCAACGACCACGTTTTGATGTGACAGCAATCAATAGGTCAAAAAGCACTGAAGTTATTGAGAAGAAGCTGAAAATTCTATTGTAGGCAAATGACCTTGAAGTTCCTCCCAGATATCTTAGTGGCAATCCAAAGCTGCCACTCAGCAAGTTTGGTGTCAAAAGGTCAAAGCAAACTCAAATTATAACATGAAAACTAAATACATGTACATTAACCTTGATCACAGACACCTGGATAGCAATCCCAAGCTGCCTCTTGATATAAGCTACCCGTTCATCAAGTTTGGTGTCATTAGGCCAAAGCAAACTCAAGTTATTAAGCAGAAACTGAATTTCTTTTTTTAGTAATAGTGACCTTGACCTTGATCACAGACACCTGGATAGCAATCCCAAGCTGACTCTTGATATAACCTATCCATTCACCAAGTTTGGTGTCAATAGGCCAAAGGAAACTCAAGTTACTGAGCAGAAATAGTGACCTTGACCTTGATAAAAGACACCTGGGTAGCAATCCCAAGCTGCCTCTTGATATAAGCTATTCATACACCAAGTTTGGTGTCATTAGGCCAAAGCAAACTCGAGTTATTAAGCAGAAACTGAATTTCTATTTTTAGTAACAGTGACCTTGACCTTGATCACAGACACCTGGGTAGCAATCCAAGCTGCCTATTGATATAAGCTACCTATACACACAAGTTTGGTGTCAATAGGCCAAAGCAAACTAAAGTTATTGAGCGGAAACCAAAAGTTGATGCATGCCCGCCCGCTGGCCTGTACACCCGCCCGCCCGCCGACTTCAGCATTACAATAACCCTGTTTTCGTTGAAAACCTGGTTAAATACCACTGTATGAATAATTCAATACAAACAAAAAAGTAAATACAAAAGTTTCTGCAGAAAATATCTCTATCTATTATGGCAGATACAACAACGACTGTTTTAATTCTACAGAATTTATAATAGTATTTATAATATGGGATTTTTATTTAAATCGTTCTTTTTCGTTTTTGATAGAATTTCGGGATCTACAAAAACCAGTCAATGACGGTATGACGGAATTTAGCGCAGAACTGGCAATGGAACCGACGATGGGAGAAATGCAGTGATAAATTCATTCAATTGGCGTAAAAGTTGGATAGTTGATAAGAGTAATCAGTGTTTCTGATAGATTTTAATGTGCTTTATTTATTAAAAGTGCTCGGAAGTAAATCCCAGGCGTTTTTATAAATATTCCTGGTAAATGTAGCGGTGGGTGGGGAAATGTTGTTGCCTTCCTTGTGTTTTTTATAGTATGTATATGGGAATTTTTTTTAAATCGTTATTTTTTTGTTTCTGATATAATTTCAGGCTCCTGTGCTTAAAGGTCCTGTATGTTTTGTAATTGAGATTGCATACCACTCTTCATTGAATTATATATGTATGTAATTATGCAAATTTGTCAATTTTCAAACATGGAAGAATATGTAAAATATGTATTGCACATATTTGTACATATTTAAGGTAATCATTAAATTATATGCATTCATTTCTTATTGGAAAAATTGACTTAGAATTTATAGAAAACTAAATTCTAATTACCTCCCTTTATTTACATGAAATATTAAATTCGGTAATATCTTTATAAATAATGTTTTTTTGAAACTTACAATATCGATAAATCTTAATTTGAGCATCATAATTTGTATATAAAACCATAAAAATAATGTGTTACAGGATCTTTAAAGTAACTTTTAAATATTTGTAGTAAAATTATATCAAGTATAATTATAGATTACTGTAGTTTATTGAAAATGCCATTGACATTTGTTCTTATATCGCCGATTTTGGGTTACACCGGGATACTTTTAACTTCATTTGGGTGTAATTCCCCAGAGCTAAATCGTAACGTACCGGAAAACGGTGTTTAGCTAGGTTTTCGAAAGGTCAATTATGAGACCTAAAATATTAAACAAATTGGTTCAAAAAGCAGCAATACAAAACTTCACAGACAAATGTTATCAAAAGACAATAAAATAGACAACAATTCTGTATTACAAACCTTTATGCCAATATTTAAGACTAAAAAACTCTTCTTCCCAACAATCGTTACAAATGGTGCAAATTTTCAAAGGGAGTCTATCATGTCTAAACTAAATATGATTCATACATAACCGATTCGTACCGAAACCACCAAAACGGTATCAACAGAGACTATAAAGTTATGGAAGGCAGGAATGAGAGTGGTTTCGTCGAACTACCGGTAAGGCAAACTAATCTTATATATTACACATTAAGTAAAACCTGTAAAATATGAAAACATTTTAATTTATTATGTCAAACTATACAAATGGTAAATGCTAAAAAAAGAAGAAACAATATGTTATTCGGAATAAAATCGACATATTAGATACAAAAAAAAATCTGTATGGAAAAGAATTAACTTTGTTTTCTATAATCAAAATATATATACAAAGTGATTTTGTACACGTAATCACGGATTAGTATTAAAGAGGTTACACCATAATTTTTACGTAATAAACAACAATAATCTCTCTTTATTCTTTATTCATCACTCTATATAAAACTTTAAAAAAAGTCCTCATAGATCTCGTAGTTAAATTGTGACTACATAATTTCAGTAGTTGGGAAGTAGTCATCTCATCATCTTCGTACTTGTCCCAGGCTTAGAATAAGGCTTCATGGACTTTCTTCATATCTTTTAAGATTATGTCTTGTCAAGAGATTCTGAGAAAAGAGACGAATTTGAAGATCCACAAGCTGGGCCTCCCTTTTCAGTAAAGGTAGTAACATGTATAATCCCATGCAAGTCCGCACGTCCTGCGGGTGTTGATCCTTCTGTGTCATCCTGTAATGATTACTGTTGGAACAAATGTAAAATTTTAAAGTTGATTTAGTAAACCTATGTACAACGTCACTAATTTCAAAAATAAATCCCTGTTTAAATTGATTTCCCTTGTATAATATGAAAAAGAAAACATCAATACACTCCAGTGAATTGGCTGCCACGAACTACCGTAACGTTGATCCATGTGCTCTCCACGTACTCCATCACGTACAGCCAATATTGGTCAAGCAACCTCCATAGCGTGGTCCAGCAGCTGTCGGAAGACAGGCGGGATTTTCTCACTGGGAAGAAAAGGCAAGGACATCACCTTTTCATATTTAATCATATTGTTTCATATTTAATCCTACATTAAATATATATTGCATCTTGATTGTTAGGCTCCGCCTACTTAGTGTACTGACCAATTAATTGACTTCATATTGTTAGACAGTCTTAGAAATAAACTCATATAATATCAACATCTCGTATTCCCTGCATCTACACCAAATAAACAAACATAAAACAGAGATATTCATGTTTGTCATGGTATCTTGATATTACATGGCAATATCTTATGCCTGGATCGTCCAATACAGTCTCTAGTTCCAGTGGGAGACAGAACTGGGGCGGACTGTAAGTCTAGACGGGGCGGACTGTATTTTGGGACAGGGCGGACCATGACTCGAGACGAGGCGGACCGTGCATTTTTTCAAATTTAACATTGCCATTTCATTTTTTTAATCTTTTGATATCGATATCATCCTAAACATGTCGTATATTTAAGGATTTTCATATCGAACAGATTTATGTATAAAAAATTAAACATCGATCTAGTTAAATATGTATGAATTAAACATGCGCACACGGAATAAGGTGTACTGTGGATTAATATACTTTTATATTTATAAATTTATTATCAACATTGACTCATACAATTATAAGCTTAAAACGGTAGCGTATGCTAGTGGTATTGGATTGAGAAAATCTCATTTGTAAAACATATTTTCGTTTTGTGCTGATGTTATTATAATCTTGAAACAATTACTTTAATTGTAATATTTTTATACAGTCGACTCTCGTTATCTCTAAGTCATCGCGGGACCGTCCAAAAAATATCGAGATAACGAAATGTCGAGATAAACATTGGGTTTGAATAAGGCAGAAACTGATTTTTGCAAAAGACATGTGCATACATTATGTCATAAACTATGATATCCCCATGTCTTCTTTTCATAGGCCTAGTCAATATTTAACAAAGTACCATTAGCGGATGTTTACCAGCGGTAATACAGGTGTTTGTGATAAAAACACATAGTGAGGTTTACTCAGTAATACACCAATATAGTGAAAACATTGTTTTCATGGTGGTTGATCAAGATATCCTCCCGGGTTGGTTATCGGGTCTTCCTCGAGATTGTTCGACCACTGATTGATTTTGTGCTGATGTTATTATATATAATCTTGAAACAATTACTTTAATTGTAATATTTTTATATCTACCATTTATAATTTGTTAGCTGTATTGAGGAATATTGATAATATACATTAGTTAATTGCAATATGAAAACAAAGGAATAGCTAATAAACAATGTATACATGTATATTATTTTGCTAAACAGACAACAATTGAGACATAGCACAAAATCATTTCTGATATCACCTAACTCGTCAAAGAATCAAAATTTAGGAGCATTTGACAACGCAAGTCAACCAGGAGCGTGCAGTCAAAATTGAAGAATTATTGTTATTTTAAACAACCAGAAGGGTTATACATGTATTTATATTATTATGTATTAGCTTAAAGGTATTTTATGGTAGAAGGAAATATCTTAATCGGAATTTTTTCTAGAATCATTTTTACACTTGTCTGTCGAGTACCTGTGGTCATGTCAGTCGAGTACCTGTGGTCATGTCAAGCAGTAGCAGCTCAATACCATAGTGTTCAAGTAAATTCACTATTGTGAATTCAAGTTTCAAGTTTTATTTACATATTCTCTGTTTGCATACATACAAATACAAGAGATAATACATGTCAATTATTTTACATACAAAAAGTCACATGCATAGCAGAGAGCAACACAAAGTTCTAATACAGTTCATTCATAAGAATTATTAACGAAAATTAAACAATTCAGACACATACTGCAGTATAGAAAAAATAATGTTTTGGTTTTTTTTTGCCCTTTTTTTACCTACATTTTAATTCAGTGCAACAGTACCCTAGTAATTACGTAACTGAGAATGCCTATAAATAGATTTGTCGCATGATTAAATCGGGTCATTAGGTTCGGACAGGTGTGGACGGCACGTGAAGTAACAATAGAAGTGTGCCGTTGTCGTTAAGAAAAAAATATTTATTTTATTGATTTATGTTGGATGTTAAACAATATAAAATGCCAAAAATCTATGAGTTTCAATGTTGGAATTTAATTAAGATGGAAAAAAGCAAAAGAGTGTGTCATTCAGTTGGTGTTTAAGTGTTTGTCAGTTTGATATCTGACTTATTTATATTGAACAGAAGTGATATTATTCTGTTTGTGGATTTACATGGGTGCGTGACCTTTTGAACCTGCAATGTGTTTTTTTTTTAAATTACTTTTGTTAACGAAAACTTTCACATTAAGCTGGCGTGACTTTCAATCCATCCAATTCACTCCACATTAATTCTCGTAAACTACACGGACCAAACCGAAGTGGGATCGAATATTTAAATGAGTCCTATAATGTATTCATAATTGACAGGTCAATAAAATCAGAGTAATGTTTTGATGTGTGTGTTTTATGAGGTTACCTTTGTCTACAATTGACCTATCACATGTAGTCTTCTCACTAGTGTGAACTGCCACAAATATTATGCTTTTTTTTTAAAAAATAACTCCTATATGCAAATGATTTATGACATATTTTACTGTTAAAAATTTTCTTACCATAGTGGGTTTTCATATGCTTTACAAGATTATTTCTTTGGAAAAGTTACATGGTCACATATTTCCCATACCAGAGTGTACTTTTGCCATGTGTGCTTTAAGTCTACTAAACTGTGCAAATGAAAAACCACATATATCACATTTATGATTGCTCTCACCAGTGTGTATAGTCTTATGTCCTTTACGACTGTTTTTCCATGCAAATGCACGATCACAAATCTCACATTTATAATTCTTCTCAATGTTGTGTAAAGTCCTATGTCTTTTAGACTACATGTACAACTACGCGTAAAAGAACAACTGGATTATCGGTCTCAATAATGGGGTTGGGACTGAAACTGGTGGTCTTATAAGTGGAAAAGTGAGGTGGTCTTAAATGTAGATCTTGTTACCATTTAAAGCTGCACGCCTCCAGATGAGCCAAAATATTTCAAAAAATTGAAAATTGAGAAAAATGTGCTAATACTTCAAGAAAGGTGAAAACAAACAAGATCAATGTTGAAATTTACATGTTATTTCCGATTTAAGACTGATTTTGCAGTATTGTTTCACCATATTTCTACAGTAAGGTTTTTTTTTTGCACATTTTTACCTCTTTTTGGTTATTTGCATGGATTGTAAGTGCCAATTGCAATATGTAAATAACTTTATTTGTTCACCTTACAATATTTTACTGTCAAATACATTATCAAAATTTTCATAAAATTTAACATGAATCTGGAGGCGTGCTGCTTTAAATAAAGAACAAAAAATTTCCATTCTTATGAGAATTGTTCTTAATAGAGGGGTGGTCTTAAAAATCCGGGATGGTCTTAAGTATGGGTTCTACTGTAATCAAATTTGAATAGAAGGAATTAATATGTACACTCTTTACATTAATTAATTATTATTACCAGGACATGATAAAACATTTATGTGTAAAGTTTACAGTTATTGTGAAAAATTCAAGGGTTACTTCATAGGAATGGATACTAATATGTTGTTTACAGAATTATCTTCATGTGTAAATAAAAAACATATACAACTTCTGTATTCAATTTTATGTTTATTTTGTTTTAACATAAATACAATGTTCATAGCCAATACAGTAAAAACTCTGAAAACCGGACCCTGTCCGGACTTGACCAAAAGTCCGGTTTTCAGAGGATTCCGGTTTTCAGAGGTTTTATACATTTATTGATAATTATGATGTGCTTGAAAAATGACTTTGTTCAATCATTTTGTATTTACTTTTCAACCTTTTTTTTCTAAGTCGTATTTTAATTTCTTTTTGCAATAAATGTCTTAAGTAATTTTATCATGCATTACCATGAATATAATTTTGCAAATCAGAATTTAAAACAACACATTGTCTGAAATTGTCTTTTGT